GCTACATGAGTTTTAAAATATCGGCATATCGGATATCGGCCAAAATCCCAATATCGTGCATCCCTAAAAAGAACATTACACTAAGATGATATAAACTGTTTAAAATAATTGGAAACTCTTTCTGGCATTTTCTGTGAGCGGTCAGATGTAGTCGATTCATCGTGGATATGAGCGTAGAGGAATCGACATAGAACGGTGGCGCTAAAGCTAACCAACCACCATGGTATCAACCCACAACAAGACACTTTGCAGAGACAGTGGAATCAGATTATAGAGTTTATTCGCAGAAAGAAACCTCCAACAGAACCAGGATCGGTGTGAGTGACCTTCTTCCAAGGTCGAGTGGGGTTCAAGGAGACAGATGCAGACAATTAAAACGAAGATAGGATCACTGATCTATAAATACTTTCTGCATCAGAGAAGATGAGGACAAACTAACCCAACAGGTGGCTCTGTCTAGGAGGGAAAAGGTTAAGCAGATTTACTCTGATCTAGTTTTCATGTCAAATGGATGAAAGATCAGAGTCGCGTTAAAAGCTGAGCTCATAGCTGTTGGTGTCGATGGCAGCAGCCCAACTGATTCTGCTCTCCAAGATGGAGTCACAGCCAAAAAGGACCAGATTAAGGTACCATAAAGAGAAAAAGACGAGAGAGCGCAAAGAGGGGGATGACCCTACAAATGCAGCAGGAGGAAAGAATAGAGAAAGAGTGATGAAAAAGGGGTCCCTATGTCCTCCAGCATTCTAAGCCTATAGCAGCATTACTATAGAGAGCAGACGGATAAACAGGCCTGGAAGAAAGCTGAGTAGATGTCAGGGTATAAGATGATGACCAATGTATACAATTTCTAGCACTGACCAACTACCTGATGTCACTGTTTGAGTTACTGCAACATGGTGTCACCCTTTTTGAGTTTTTACGGCACTAGTGGCTCGTTTTACTGACAGGAAAGGGGATATGAACGAGGGGAGAGACATGCGGCAAAGGACCAGAGGTTGGATTTGAACCCGGGTCGGCTGCGTTGAGGACTAAGGCCTCCGTACATGGGTGGTGGGAGCTAACCATTGCTCCACCTGTACCCCCAACATGGTGTCACCCTTACCAAAAATGATGAAACAAAGCTTTGCTTTTGGTTTTGCTTTCAAACCACCTTGTGAATGAAGGTAGTTTGGTTCAACATTTCATTTCCCCTTTAATCACCAACCGAATGAAACTGTCTGTTCATTCAGATGCTGCTGAAAGAAGAAAGAATCCAGCCTGAGTGATAAACTGTTTACTGTTTTAAAGTAAACACAAAAGACCAGGAGTTAAAATACAATGGTACCTTTATTTACTACAATCACACAGTACTAACATTTTTTATACTGCAAAATAAACAGATAAAAGGGGAAGAGAGGTTTAAGAGTCAGTTTAAAGTCTGAGGAATGTTCGAGTTTTAACGCTTAATGCTGTTCTCTGAAATAGCAGCAGATAAATGTGAATAAACCTGATGCAGAGATGTTAAACTCAGTCAAAGCAGTGAGATTGAATTCTGAATGTGAGCGGACTTCTGCTTCAAAGTAACTGGATCTGCTTTAGAGAAGAAGGGAAAGCACCCATAGTTTCCCACTGGTCCTGGCCATCCCAGTCCAGTTTTGCTCTCACATCCTGCGTTTCGGTTGGGTTTTCAAAGCGATGCGTCGGTGACGTTTTTTCTGGTTTTCTCAGTGTGTTTGCTGTAAAAGGGAAGTGACTAAATGAATACTTTAAAGTTTGTTCTCTATTCGCAGATCGCCTTACTTCTGCTGGAAAACGGAGCTGACCCAAATGCCACCGATAAGCTGGACTCCACCCCGCTGCACAGAGCGTCAGCCAAGGGGAACTACCGTCTCATCCAGCTGCTCATCAAGCAGAGCGCCTCAACCAACATCCAGGATTCACAGGGCAACACAGCACTGTATGTGTGCAGAAGCGTTTGTCTAATGATTAACATGGTGGCAGTTTATGGGGCAAAGCCTCACATCAGTAGGATTTCCTTTAATTCCAAGCCTCTCTGGATTCAGGAGGAATGAAATCCAAAAGTAGCTGACTCAGATTTATAGTTTTTTTTGCATTTTAAGTTTTGCTTTTTCTTTATTCCTCTTTTCCAGCCATCTGGCATGTGATGAAGAACGAGTGGAAGCGGCCAAGTTGCTGGTAGAACATGGTGCCAGCATTTATATCGAGAACAAGGAGGAGAAGACCCCCATCCAGCTAGCCAGGGGTGGGTTGGGGAACCTTCTCCGTCGGATCGTGGAGGGCTGATGCTTTCACTGACCGGTCGGTCCTGGTTTGTCCTGAACCCCTACCATCACGTTCCACTGATGTCTGAGCTCCTCCTGGGCAGGCCTGCTGTTACTCTGTGTGATCGGCGCCATGTGAAAGAGGCCACGGTGTCAGAGGAACGCTCAGACTGTTCTGGCCTCATCACCTTCTCCCATTGGGGCTCTGAGACCAACATGGTGTGTTTGCTTTGAAAGAATAAATATAGAAGTGGATAATAAAAAACATCAGGTGGTTTCAAATATCTGGTTGGAATAAATTTGTTGTAATCCAAATAAAAATCTGACTTTTGTATTTATTAAGTCTGCATTCTACGGAAGGGGATTAGGGCCACTGAAAAAAAAAAGTTAACTGATTTTAACATTTTATTTCAGTTTAGTATTAAAGTCTCAGAATTCTGACTTTAATCTCAGATAATTTTTTATTGTCAGAATTCAGAGAAAAAAAGTCAGAATTGTGAGATTAAAGTCAGAAGAAAAGTCAGAATTCTGAGATTAAAAGTCAGAATTCTGAGAAAAAAGTCAGAATTCTGAGATTAAAGTCAGAATTCTGAGATTAAAGTCAGAAGAAAAGTCAGAATTCTGAGATTA